CTTCTGTAGGTCAGGTTCTTTGCTACAAAGTTCAAAGACAGTCTCTGCTCTCAAACAAACAAACATTTATGCTCAAAATTAGAGCACAATAAAGGCCAAAACAGGTGCTGTGAGTGCACAAAGGGCAACTTCTAACCTGACTTGGGATGGAGAGGTCAGGGAAAACTGCCTTGAGCTTATACTTGAACTTGACCTTTAAAGACCAGTCAGAATTGACTAAGATAAACAAGTAAAGTCTATTCCAGGCCAAGAGAAGCAAAAGCAACAAGGCATAGAGAACAGAGGGTGGGTCAGGGTGAGCTTTGTGAATGTTTCCGTGGCTACCGCAGAGAGAACGGCTAGATACCGAGAGGCTTAAACTAGCAAGAGCTGGATCCAGAAGGCCTTGGATGTGCGACTCCATCCTCCATGTAATACCGGAGAGCGGCAGGAATCCAGGAAGAATTCTAGGTAGTGGCGTGGCTAGGTCTGTTTTTGCTCTTGCTCAGATCCCTAGACCTGAAGACTTCCCTTTCTCTTTCCTCAGCCACACCCCCACCTCCACCTGTCTAAATCCGGCTTCCAGGGACCACAATGAATACTGTGTCCTCCACCAGATCTTTTATGAATTACCTGGTCAAGAGTAATTTCGCCCTCCTTTGCGTACCTGTAATTCTCCAAGCCACTTAGGCTTGAAAACCTAAAATAATATACTTTAAAAGCTCACAATAAGCCGGGCTCAGTGGTTCATCCTGTAATCCCGCACCTTGGGAGGCTGAGGTGAGTGGATTGCCTGAGCCAGCGGGTTCGAGACCTGCCTGGGCAACTTGACAGACCTCATCTCTACAATAAATCAAAAAACTAGCCGGGTGTGATAGCCCGCGCCTGTAGTTCCAGCTACTTGGAAGGCTGAGGTGGAAGGATTGCCGGAGCCCAGCAGGCTGCAGTGGCTGGGAACGGCCACTGCACTCCAGTCTGAGCGACAGAGTGAGACTCCAACTCAAAAGTAAATAAATAAATAAATAAATAAAAACTCACAATATAGCAACAACATTAATGAGAAAAAGTATACATAATTTTCATGATTGCAAATTCTTTTCTAAAATTATAAATATATTTAATTGTTGAAATCATGGTGTATATATAATTTTATGTTTTACATTACATAGTTTTTTGAAAACTTAAATCATTATTTATTTATTTATTTTTTGAGTTGAAGTCTTACTCCGTTGCCCAGGCTGGAGTGCAGTGGCATGATCACGGCCACCCCAGCCTCAACCTGCTGGGCTCAGACAAACCTGCCTCAGCCTTCCAAGTAGCTGGAACTACAGGCGTACACCACCACACCTGGCTAATTTTTTGATTTATTGTAGAGACAGCATCTTGCCAAGCTGCCCAGACTGGTCTCAAACCTGTGGGCTCAGGCAGTAGTCCTTTCACCTCAGCCTCCCAAAGCACTGGGACCACAGGCTTGAACCACTGCACCCGGCTTAATTATTATTATTTTTTATTCTCATTTCTTATTTGGCTACTCCTGATTTCCTTCTCTTTAATCATTATTTTTAACATGTATTATATATAGTCATTCCTGTATAATCAGGAATGTCAGTGTTAAGTTTGTTTTTAATTTTTATCTGTTTGTTGATAATGCCACGATTTTCACATAATTATCTCTTCCCCTCTTCTTCTTTTTTTTGTTTTTTTGAGTCAGACACTCACTCTGTCACCCAGGCTGGAGTGCAATGGCATGCTCACGGCCACTGCAGCCTCGACCTGCTGGATTCAGGCAATCCTTCCACCTCAGCCTTCCAAGTAGCTAGAACGACAGGCATGCACCACCACGCCTGACTAATTTTTTGATTTATTGTAGAGATGAGGTCTTGTCAGTGTGCCCCGGCTGGTCTCAAATCCCGGAGCTCAGGCAATCTCTCATCTCTGTCTCCCAAAGTGCTGGGATTACAGGCGTGAGTGCCTGGTGGCTCTTTTCTTATTTTTTTGACTTTTCCTTTTGGAACTATTTTCTTATGCTAAATTCTCAAGATTGGGCTTACTAAAACAAAGTATGTTGACTTATTTTGATTTCTAACCCTCCTACCCTTCCCCTAGTCAGTGAATGACCAAGTGTTATTGATCCTTTGATATTGTATCTGGCATCAGCTTCTTCCTTTCCATTCTCACTGTTTCAGCCAATTCTGCCCTTTCATGCCAGGATTATTGCCATATTTTTTCCCGAACTGGTTTCACAGTCTCCGATGTTTTCCTTTTCCAAGTCACCCTCTTATCATGCTAGCTTAATTGCTCTAAAATGCTGCTTTGGATAAAGAATTCATTCATTCATCCAAAGCCCTAAAACAATACTTTGAATAAAGGGTTCATTCATTTGACAGATATTTATTGAATGCATGCCATGTGCCAGATATTAAACTCCTTAACTGGCATTCAATGTCTGAACATTCAGCCCTCTCGCTGGCTCAGCCACACTGATCTGCCATTTCCTGAAAATGCCATCTACATTCTCATGTTTGGATTTTTGTTTTAGAATGAATGTCTGTTTCAGATCTACCCTGTCTCCCTTTTCATTTACTTTGGTCTGTCCCTTTCTTCAAAGCAGCCCTGGTCTCAGTCCTCCCTCCACGAAGCCTCTTGGTTTTTTCACTTGGTTTTTCTCTTGTCTCCACATTGTCACAGCTAGGCAGATGATATCCTTAGTGTTTCCTTAGAGTTTTTCTTTCACTCAACCAGATACAATCGAAATTCTTTGACTTTGTTTTTAAGGCTCTCTACGATGGCCCCATTTTTCTTTTTTTTTTTTTTGAGTTGGAGTCTCACTCTGTTGCCCAAACTGGAGTGCAATGGCCGCTCCCGGCCACCGCAGGCTTGACCTGTTGGGCTCCGGCGATCCTTCCGCCTCAGCCTTCTGAGTAGCCGGAATTACAGGCATGCGCTACCATGCCCGGCTGTTTTTTTTAATTTATTGTGGAGATGAGGTCTTTCCAAGTTGCCCAGGCGGGTCTTGAACCCGTGGGCTCAGGCAATCCACTCACCTCAGCCTCCCAAAGGCATGGGATTACAGGTTGAGCCACCGAGCCCGGCTGATGGCCCCATTTTTCATTTCCAGCCTGGCTTCCTGTTATTCCCTAACATGAACTGCCTGACTCACCTGGACCTCTCTCTGTTTCCATTCCCACACCCATGACTTTCTCTGATCATGTTTTTTCTTCCATCTCATCCAGCTGTGAATCACCTGTGAAGGTGGAATCTTGTCCATTTTCTGTAACCTTTTTTGTTTTAATTTATTAATGAGTTTTTTTCTTTCTTTTTTTTTTTTTTTTTTGAGTTGGAGTCTCACTCTTGTTGCCCAGGCTGGAGTGCAGTGTCATGCTCATGGCCATCACAGGCTCAACCTGCTGGGCTCAGGCAATCCTTCTGCCTCAGCCTTCCAAGTAGCTAGAACTATAGGCATGCGCAACCACACTCGGCTTATTTTTTGATTTATTGTAGAGACAAGGTTTCACCAGGTTGCCCAGGCTGGTCTCGAAGCCCTGAGCTTAGACAGTCCTCTTGTCTCCGCCTCCCAAAGTGCTGGCATTACAGCCTTGAGCCACTGTACCTGGCTTTTTTTTTTGAGTCAGAGTCTCACTCTGTTGCCCAGGCTGGAGTGCAGTGGCATGCTCACAGTCACTGCAGCCTCGACTGGCTGGGCTCAGACAATCCTACCTCAACCTTCCAAGTAGCTGGAACTATAGGCATGCGCCACCACTCCTGGCTAATTTAAAAAAAAAATTTATTGTAGTGACGAGGTCTCACCATGTTGCCCAGGCTGGTCTCAAACCTGTGGACTCAGGCAATCCTCACCTTGGCCTCCCAAAGTGCTGTGATTATAGGCATGAGCCACTGTGCCTGGCCTAATAGACTTTTCTGATGAGATTAACAAATATGATCTATTTTTTTTTTTTAGTTGGAGTCTCATTCAGTTGCCCAGGCTGCAGTACAGTGGCATGCTCACGGCCACCACAGCCTCGACCTGCTGGGCTCAGGCGATCCTTCCACCTCAGCCTTCCAAGCAGCCAGAACTACAGGCGAGCACTACCATGCCCGGCTAATTTTTTTTATTTATTGTAGAGATGAGGTCTCACCAGGTTGCCTGGGCTGGTCTCGAACCCGCAGAAAACTCGCCTTGGCCTTCCAAAGTGCTGGGATTATGGGCTGAGCCACCAAGGCCAGCCATGATCTCTTTTTAACATTGCATAATGAAATGCATAATACCACAAAATAACTGTGTGAAGGGATTCCTGAAATAAAAAAGTTTGAGGACCTCTATACATGATCCTGCAACTTGTCTTTTCACATAGTATATCATGAATTCTTCAGTGTCAGAACATTTATATCTAATGTTCTTTTTAATAAGAGTATGGTATTCTTCCATTGTGTGGTTGAACCAAATCTATTTAATCATTCATTTATTGATGGCCATTTAAGTTGCTTTCAGCTTTTTGCTAGTTTAAATAATTAACCAGTACCCTTTATGTACATCTTTGTGCACTGGTGCTTATATATCTGTAATATGGAATCCTAAAATTCGGCCTATTTTTTTAAGGACCATCTAAATAAAATTTCCCCTTCTCTACCACACCTCCTGTCATTTCTCCTCCCTGTGGTTCTTGTTTTTGCCCCTTTTTTGTCTCTTGTTCATTGATTGCTTTTCATGTTCCCATGCCATTGCCTTGTGTTTTTAAAAAATTCTTCCTCGGTGTGCCTGTCCTGTCTTGCCAACTAAAGTATAAAAAAATGGAAGCTTCTTGAGGGCGAGGATGTTGTGTTGCACAGTGCATAGACACTCAATAAATAAGGAGAGAGGGATCGAGGGTTGGTATGAGAAAAGCTGCCCTAGCAGTTGCATTTGGTGGATGGATGGGTGCTGAGGGAAACTGTGGATGTATGTTTATAAATTCTTCTCTCATCCTGGGAAATGTCTGGAGACAAGATTAAGTAACTCTCCAACTTAATTTTTCTCATTTTAGGCAAGTACATCGCCTCGACACAGAGACCTGACGGGACTTGGCGCAAGCAGCGGAGGGTGAAAGAAGGCTATGTGCCCCAGGAGGAGGTCCCAGTGTGCGTGGTTAGGCTGGAGGAGGGGTGTTTAATGGGGTCCCCACTGGGGGATAGAATATCCTTGTGTCCGCAGGTTCAGGGAAGACTCTCCTGAGCCCCAAGGTAATGGAAGGAGGGACAGTACCTGAGACAGGAGAGGAAGGGGCTGGGATTCAGGGCCGAGTGAGGGTTCCAGGGGACTAGTCCTGTTCCTGTGGCTGCTGTTCATCAGAACCTCCAAATGGCATTCAGAGATCCAGAGCCTGGGTTCCAGGGACCCTCCTACAATCTCTCCTGCAGAGCGAAGTTGGGGAGGGCCATAAAGAGAGGAAGGAAGCAGGACTGCACTGATGGTGAAGTGATCTGGAAGGTCAAGAAAAGGGTTTGCCAGGTCGGGTTGCCCACACCTGTAATCCCAGCACTTTGGGAAGTGGAGGTGAGAGGATTGACTGAGCTCAGGGGTTTGAGGCCAGCCTGGGGAATTTGGCAATACCTGGTCTCTACAATAAATCAAGAAAAATTAGCTGGGTGTGGTGGTGCATGCCTGTGTTTCCAACTACTTGGAAGGCTGAGGCAGAAGGATAACCTGAGCCCAGCAGGTCGAGGCTGCGGTGGCCGTGAGCGTGCCACTGCACTCCAGCCTGGGCGACAGTGAGACTCCAACTCAAAAGAAAAAAGGGTTAAAAAAAGTCAGCAATTCTTTGAAGTTTTGTTGACATGTTCTGTTTCCTGCAGATATGAAAACAAGTATGTGAAGTTTTTCAAGAGTAAGCCAGACCTGCCCCCGGGGCTGAGCCCTGAGGCCACCGCTCCTGCCACCCCATCCAGGCCTGAAGGCGGTGAACCAGGCCTCTCCAAGACAGCCAAACGTAACCTGAAGCGAAAGGAGAAGAGGCGGCAACAGCAGGAGAAGGGAGAGGCAGAGGCCTTGAGCCGGACTCTGGATAAGGTGTCGCTGGGAGAGACAGCCCAGCTCCCCAGTGCCCCACAGGGCTCCCGGGCAGCCCCTACAGCTGCCTCCGAGCAGCCTGACGCAGCCGCCACCACTGAGAAAGCCAAGAAGATAAAGAGCCTAAGGAAGAAGCTTCGGCAGGTGGATGAGCTGCAGCAGCGGATCCAGGCTGGGGAGGTCACCCAGCCCAGCAAAGAGCAGCTGGAGAAGCTCGCGAGAAGGAGGGCGCTGGAAGAGGAGTTAGAGGACTTGGAGCTGGGCCTGTGAGGCCCGTGGGCATAGGGAACGAACTGCAGAACAAACCGTGGGGCTCTCTGGGGCCCGGGGGCACGTGGGCCGCAGAGTCAGGAGGGATCCCCCACACTGGCTCGCGTCCACCTCTTACGGCCCAGCTCTGTTCTCCAGAGCCCAGCCTCTCCCTCCTTCCTTCTCTTGTTTTCCCAACTCCTGATTTTTGGACTTGTCCCTCCCATCCCCAGTGTTTGAAATCTCAGTGACTACTCTAGGTACCTTTGCTGCTGATTTGGGTGTCTTGTTTAACAGAAAATCGAGTGGGTGGGAATCTCCCAGAGAACTGAGACTGAGGGCAGACAGAGAACGCCCAGGTCTTGGAGTCTTGGTTCCTGTTCACAGTGTTTCTGGGTTATTTCCCTCCATTCCGCCATTCCTCACCTTTTTTTTTTTTTTTTTTAAAGAACGAGAATAAACACAAGTAGACATGTCTGACTTTGCCTATTTCTTTTCAGCTCCTAGTAGGTGTTTTATCCCCTAGTTTGGCACAGGGAGACCAATATTGGGAGTAATATTTATTTTTTTGTTTTTTTGGGTCAGAGTCTTACTCTGTCACCCAGGGTGGAATGCAGTGGCATGTTCACGGCCACCGCAGCCTTGACCTGCTGGGCTTAGGTGATCATTCCGCCTCAATCTTCCAAGTAGCCGGAACTACAGGCATGCGCCACCATGCCCAGCTAATTTTTTGATTTATTGTAGAGACCAGATCTCATCAAGTTGCCCAGGCTGGTCTCAAACCCCTGGGCTCAGGCAATCCTCTCGCCTCAGCCTCCCAAAGTGCTAGGATTACAGGTGTGAGCCACAGCACCCAACTTATTTTAACTTTTATTTTATTTTTTTGAGTTGGAGTCTCACTCTGTCGCCCAGACTGGAGTGCAGTGGCTGCTCCTGTCCACCGCAGCCTCGCCTGCTGGGCTCCAGCGATCCTTCCGCCTCAGCCTTCCGAGTAGCCAGAATTACAGGCATGCACTACCACGCCCGGCTGATTTTTTTATTTATTGTAGAGATGAGGTCTCGCTGCCCAGGTGGGTCTCGAACCCGCGGGCGC